TGAGGAATATATGTCAATAATGTGGGGATTTTAAAATGTTGCAAAAATGTAACAACACTTGTGCAGGACCGTGTGTAAAACATCTGTACCAAGTTTGAACATGATCCACCCAGTGGTTCTTGAGAGGAAGTCCAAAATGTCTGAGCCAAACAGAGGCCAGGGTGGCCATCTTGGATTTTGAATCACCCCAAAAAGTTAAAACACTTGCCAGGACCTTGTGTAGAACATTCGTTCCTAATTTTCCCCCTCCTGTGGCCCCTATTGGGGCCACGCCCTTTTTCTTCGCAAACTTGAAGCGGCTTCCCATGGGGATGCTTTGTGCCAAGTTTGGTCAAAATCCATCCACTAGTTCTTGGGAAGTCATTTAAAGAAGGTTTTTACATATGGCCCCTTTTACACCCCTTATGGTCCCCAAAGGGGACATTATCACTTTTTTCAACTTAATTTCATATGGTCTTCACTAAGGGATGCTTTCTACCAAATTTGGTTGAAATCGATCAAAGTTGAATTTTTGACCCTTTTGAGCGCCCCCTAGTGGGGCCGTTTTGATCCGATTTTTTTTCATTCGCAAGCTTTGTAGACCTTGCCATAAGGACCCCAAATATCAAATATGAACTTAATCTGACTGTTGGTTCATGAGAAGAAGATTTTTTAAAGACAAATCCTTCGGCTCAGGTGACCTCAAAACCAAATACATGAACTAATTCACTCCTGATAATCAACATTAAATCATAATGTTTTATTTTTTTTAACTAGCATTGGCAAAATAACTAAATTTTCAGAAAACTCTTAGTTTTAGCATGTATTTATTAAGTAGGAGAACATTTTCGACAAGACAAGTGTATCTAATACCATAACAAATGTTTCTTAAAGAATTTTGATTGTTGACTTTAGGATTTGACATCATAGATATTAAAAAGTTTTCCTTCAATTTTCAAATTGATACTGCTTTAGCAGCAAGCACTAGGTTTTTTCATCCACCATTTTTATTGTATAAGAATGATCTCCTTTGTAAATGTGTAGTTGTAACTCACTTGATATGCATAATAGATAACAACAAACTAACCAAAAGTTACAATGTTTACAAACGTATTTACATCTTAAGTATGAGACATACAAATACTCAGGATTAGGCCACACATACAGCTATGTAGAGATTTTTTCTAGCATATTTTAATTTTTCTTGGTCACCAGAATGTTCAGAGTGGAGAACACGTCGTTAGTTTAATTATTGCCAGTATCGTCTGTGAAACAGAAGGCGTTTACTCTTCCAGAACACCTGGTCTTATTCCCTTTGTACCTTTGTTCACATTTTGTCATTGTTTTATTGAATTTGAGCTTAAATTGTGATCATTTTGACATATTGGTATTTTCTTGTTGTCTTAAAATTAAGATGCGCAGCTCTGTTTTCAATTGTCTTCCGAAATCTAGATGGCTTAAAGTACATTACTCAATTTTCATGTCTGTCCCCATTTTGACCTGTCATATTTTCATAGCATTAGTTCGGGTGCATTGAAATTGAGACAAATTTTTATAAAAATCTGTTCATTCTACATTATCTTTAAAAATAAAGGATATCTTATGTTTCCCGTTAATGTCATATCTTTTTCATGAGTATGACAAAATATCTATATCTTCGCTTGAATAATGTTGATTATCCACAGTGGTTGAAACATTTCAGTTTAAGTTATAGGAGGAGCCCAGTCAAGGCCTAAATTTTAATTATGTTAAACCATACAGGATTAAATTGCTCTACAATAGTTGATTTAAATTTTGTTTGTTTGTGGTTTTTTTTATTATTATTATTTATTTATATGTGTAATTTTGGTACCAAACATGATTATAACATGACTCCATCATAACTGCGTCATTCTGACGAGAAAATAAAAAAATCTACTAGAAAGTGACAGGGAACGGTGTGTATATTTTAGAACTGCGAAAGTCTTCATCATTGTAGCTATGTAGAATAAGTAGAATTAATGTTCAAATCAACAATATTCTCTACCATTGTACCGTGAATAAACACCATTATCCAGCTGATACAGGTGAAGTCGATTGTGTAACTGTTCGGACAATGGATACCGCCTCCAGCTGGCACAAGGCGATATGTCTGATAGGAGTGTATATGTGTAGTGGAAACCTGACCAATTTCCCTTCATAATACTTAACCACACACATATTCTACGTACCTTTCCCATACACCTACGGTTAAGATAAAAGATCGATCTGAAAAATTTAGGACCGTACTCATTGACCTTGAAATCAAACTTCAGGAAAGCCCCTACTCGTCACTAATTTACATCAACAATACTTATTGTTTCATGCTACGGATCTTTATATGTTTTATTGCATATGGTTTGAAAAATCGACATAATCATAAGTATGTAAATATCTGTTGTATATGTCGCGATCGTATATCATGTGCATGTTTTAGAAGACGAGATTCTGAAACAAAAATGGAGACTTTTTCCATAATAGTAAATATACAGCTATACCTGTTTACATGAAACGAGATGCATGCGAAGTGAACATTTCAGCTATCTAACTTGACACTTCAAACATCGGTTAGGGCCTTTCAATGACAGAAATCTGTGTCGCCGAAGAGATCTATTTCATACGTTTATGTTAAAAGGCTGTCACCTCACTTTCTACACCAAGTAGAAAAAAGGCACATCCGACTCATTATCTTACGGAAGGGTATTCCGGGCACGTTGTGTTTTATTTCATCTCGAAATTTCGAGATGTCACGAAATTTCGAGTTAAAATAAAACACAACATGGCCGGAATACGCTTCCGTATTACCTGGCTCTACTGTATCTTATCCAAAATATACTTTGGAAGGTGTTATTCACTAGTATATCTTTTGTACAATCTTCTGTTGCTTTACATACGTAATGTTTAGATCACGTCTATCGACACGGATGAATGAATCCTATCTCGCAAATATGCTTGACCAGACTTCTGTGAGATCATAGCATTAGATCGAGACCGTGATCAAACTAAAAACTCATACATACATGTAAACACTGACATAGTTTGTTAAGGATGTGATATGTTGGGTATAGTTTACACCTGATGTTCATAAACAAAACCAGGCCCAGACTGAAGCCATAATGATATTTAGTTGCTAGAACCATTTTACCAATAGAAAATTTGTGTGTATTTCTTCTAGTTCACATAATACAAATAAAGTATACGATGTAACACATTCAAGTATCTTAGTAATCAAGGGTGATTTGTATGATTCCAATATTGTGTTTTTAAGCACATTATCTTATCTGGTATATGCTAAGAACGATATCACTCGAAAATAAGGCTAATTTCCATACATACTGTCTACTCAAGAGGTACTGTGCGAAATGCAAGACGTCAGTAAAAAGGCATGTGAAATCACGTGTGGACATAACCGCAGTTCCGGCGCAACTAGAAATAACAAGAGAAACATACGAGAAATCTTAATGGAGACATTTGTTAAATACTAGGATTATAAGATCGTGTTTCGAAACGGCAGGTGTCTTCACCGACAAGTTAAAGATCACCAAAAGACAATGTATATGATATAGATTGTAAACCTTTATCAGCAAGGAACTGTTCCTTACCATACTCCGTCTAATACATCGATTCTGGAACATCTGACAAGCTAACAAGGTGGACACGAATGTGAAGCATACATCGTGCCCGTGCTGGACTTGAGTTACCATCAAATTGGAGTTTACAAAAGAACACAATGGCATACTTCAGAACAGATTTGGACATTCATTCCGCGAAACCTATTGCCTGTCATGAATTCATTATATTGAAGTATGTAGCTGCAAGCCGAAATGCTTAAAATGTGTTCAGGATGTTCTGGGGAGCACTCCTCTTCGTCTGGATATTCATGAAATGGACAGCATATGTTCAAAAATACTGATTAACATGACCATACCCATGTGATATCAGTTTTATCGTGAATACATGTTGCTGGATATTCGTGCCTATTACACCAATGTCATCGACCAAATGGACGAATCTTTTGCGAGTTACATATATATCATAATTAAGAAAACATATGTAATAAAGTTATCATCATATTAAATTCTCGTGTCAACATTTATCTATACTGATTTTGTTTTCATCAATGAATTTTCCATCTTATTTCTTTACATCTACCGTAATAAATTACTTTCCAATGATCGCCATCGTGTGGAAAATGTGAAAATTGACTTTTCTCTTGATGTCTTCGAATCTAATTTATTTACCTGTGGTCCAACGTACACCTATAGCAAACTTCATTTTTTTTTATCAAGGCAACCCATTTTCTAATCATCCCTACCAGTAAATTTTCGTCAGAGTTTCATATATGAAGTTTTACAGTGTTTGAATACTAATACTGCTATTCTGTTAACTTCAGGCTGTTTACTCAGATTTGATTATGAATCGATTGAGAACTATTCCACGATATTGTGATATACATGATTAGTAAATTCTATATTTCTTTAGATATTTTGATAAGTGTAACTACAGTAAGCACAGTAAATAATTCAGCAAGAAAATACATTAATGCTCTCAAGTAAAACGTGCTGAAGTTGCGATAATAAAAAGCACGGATATCACTTTCGTTCACAGCTGGGTAGGACCTCAATACATGGTATACATTTATCGTAAATACATCGATAACTCGAGGCGGTCTTCGCTAAAAATATCATCACTCCGTGTCAGATTAATCCTTTCTTATGTAGGTAAATACTAGAAAATATATACAGAGGTGAGGTGGATAGTCCACTATAAAGTTGTAGGTGTGTTTTTGTCCGTATTTAAATTCCACCTGCTATCATGCCATGGTCAGTGATTTCCCGCACGTATGTTTACCGGCAGTCGAATTGTTTACTTATTTACTGAAATCGAAGTTTGGACGTAAATGTGTGTTAAGCAGACCGCGACCATCTGTATTTAGTATTTCTGTCTACCCTGCTACTCTTTACCTGTCACATTGAAGTGTAAGTAAACGGATGGTGTACACAATGGAGGGAATGCTGGATGCTGTCACAAAACTCGGGAAATATACACCTGCTTTTATCCGTAGAAAACTTATGTCGGGAAGGTTCACCTACATTTGCATAATCGCCGCACTGTGTTTTGTGAGTGTGATAACTCTAGGTATTTTTCAAACTAGTTTGAAAACGAATAGAGAACAGATAGACAATGCGCGGTATTGGAGAGAAATTGCAGGTCTTGGTAGATTGAACAAGCCACAAGTGGAATTCAATTTTAATAGCAACGATCAAGACACAGATACAGGGATAGGAAACCAAAGAAACCTCAAGGAAGACAAGAGCTCTGGTCACAGGGGCAAGAACGAGAAGGATGGAAATGATATCGCTGCTAGGGGGCAACCTGGCAATAAACAGGTAAAAAACGCTCGTGAAAAACAACCTTTATTTAAGAGTAATTCTAAACTATTGCATGAAAAGGGAAAAAATCAATTCGATAAAAAATTCGTTGAAAAAGAAACTGTAAAAGAATTAGGTGTTATTCCAGCTGACAACGAAAAGAAAGATATCATCCAGAAAAAGTCAAATGACAAAATACATGACACTTTCGAGAAAGAACCTTTGATCCGCGAGGAAAACGAGGAAGAGAAGGAACAACAATCATTGATCAAAGCTCTTTCAGATCTACTGGCAAAGCTGGAAGACAATGGATTAAACACTGATTTAGAAGAGAAATTATTTGCATATAATAATAAGAACAATCACCACCTTCCCAGCTTCGATCCAAAACAGTATCCACAAACAGTAGACATTCAACAACTATTGAGTAATTTCGTTCAAACGGGCGTCCTTCCCGATAACCCCATCAACAAATGGATTTATCAGCCGATTATCAATCCCACTCATGTGTGTGATCAAACAGTTAGGACGTCAAAGGTGTTTTTACTCTTTATCGTGAAAACGTCACCGGAGAATTTCGATAAAAGAAAAACCATACGTAAAACATGGGCTGATCCGATGAGGTTTCCTAACATTAGAACAGTGTTTTCAATAGGAGTGCCAAAATCTTCAGGTACAATGAAGAAATTGAGACTGGAATCCACGAAGTACAAGGACATTCTACTGATGGACTACAAAGATAGTTACTACAACCTGACACTAAAGACAACCAGCGGCATCAATTGGGCAGTGGCACATTGCAACAAGGCCGAGTTCGTTGTTTCTATCGATGATGATATATACTTAGCTACCGATTTCCTTACGCTGTACCTGCAGAGTTTATCAGAGTCTCAGGCCGATAGACTTTACATGGGGCACGTGTACGAGAAGACCTTGCCCGTTCGGAAAGAGACTGCAAACGAATACACTCAAAAATGGATAATATATGAAAGTGAGTATTCGTTTAGAACCTATCCAGATTACGTGTTCGGGGGATGCATCGTCATGTCTATGAGAACAGTAGTGGAAATGTACACAATTATCCCGTACACTAAAACCATTGTAATGGAGGACGTGTACCTTGGTATTTTAGCCAGTAGACTCGGGATAGCTCCCATACATACAGACTTAATAGATGTTTATGTGACTTACTCTAATTCGGAGAAGTTTAAGACTCTCATAGCCTCCCACTACTATAAGTCTTCCCACATGCTGAAAAAGGCGTGGGAATGCCATTTATCTTTAGTCAACAAAGATGTAGAGAAATCTGCATACTGTACCTACCTAAAGGACGAATTGGAGGCACTTCGGAAACACGTAGATAACATACTTCATTGGATAAATTTATCGAATAATGCTGTTTAGAAATTAATAAATATTTGATATATGTTTTTGTTAACATTCTCACGACTACCTGTTTCCTATTGCCACCGTCATACACACGTCTAGTGCGTTCTCTTTGATGTGTCTTTATTTTATCATTATCATTATTTTTTTAATGTAAGATTGATCTCTGTTATTTATCGACGTTATTGATTTTTTACACATGTTTATATATAATACATTTGATATGTGTTATACTTAAAGTGTTAACACATTCTTGCCCTTCACTACAATATAATGGTTTTTTTTCGAATACAAGATAAAGAACCGATTTCTTATTGTCATTGTTCTATATTTCAACTGCCTGTAGGTATTTTGAATATATATCCATTGCATTATGCTTTTATTTCAGCTGGTAGTCTTTGGATACCATGCATAAAATCAAAAAAAGAATAATTAAAACATGTATTGGACCATTTATTGGCAATGCATAAAACACAAGACCATGGTACATGTATTGGAGAGATCAAAATAAGGCAATGGTACATGTATTGGAGTGATCTAAATAAGGCAATTGTACATGTATTGGAGATATCTAAATAAGGCAATGTACATGTATACGATATATCCAAATAAGGCAATGTACATTTATTGCAGAGATCAAAATAAGGCAATGTACAGGTATTGGATAAATTCAAACAAAAGTGATAAATATTTCGGCACGGATGTAAGCTTTGGTATCCCGTTACATTTGTTTAAAGTTGTTTTCAATGCACCGCCTGTGTTTGATTATGCATTTTCTGTGTGACATTGTGCCTGGAACATTTGGTCGTGTAAAAATCCGAATTGATTTACGTTTCCCTAATTCGTAGATCATAAACTCCTGATAACGAATCTCACTCACTCATAACAAAGTTCTGGAGTTTTACATATGTACACACAGAAAGTGCCTTTTTCAGATTAAAGGAGATACGTTTTCACACATACACGACATTAGCAGGGATAGAGTTCAAGTTAAACCGATTTGATATTTCATCCTTGTGTTTCTGCTCGTACAGTCTTCAACACTTCGATTTTTGTCAGCCTGCTAACAAACTATGTTATATTTGGAAACAAAAACATAGACTAGAAGAACTAGGCTTTACATGTAAATATATTAGATCACTTGATGTCACGCATTACTAAGCCGACACGGCTGCTTGACATATCATTGTCCAGTCACCACCAACTGTAGATGTTGTAACTATTTCAGTGATATCAATCCTCTAACAGATATATATATTAATGTTGATAATTACGCATGCATTGTTGTGTTGCATAAATATTGGTAAAAATAGTGTATATTAAATTATACATTAAATTTCCTTAATAATTATATATAAATTGTGATGATTCAATATTGATTCGTTTATTTGTGGTTTTACAACTCCCTTACAGTTGGAGTAATTTGTCTACTGGCGTCGTTAGGTTACCATAACTATAGATCGACAAGGGAATTGTTGAACACGTACAAGAAATGTTGCTTATTGATGAAAAGGGGACGCTTACCCCTCTGGAACATCTTATTTTCTTCTTTTGCCTTCGTTTATTCTATCAGGCGTTTAAATTACAACTTTGCCAAATGTTGGCTTTTGCCTGATGTTTGTTTTGTTTTTAAATAAAATCTATCAATTTCTTAATTCTTTTGTTGATAAAAGTAATAAATAATGATGTAGTATCTTAATCTAGAGGTTCGACCGAACATTGACCTATGGCAGACACAAAAGCCCGGTTAATTCCTGAATGCCTTCAGCGAATGTTGAGTCATGGCTACCTTACTATATCCCAACAACATGTCTCCGTAAAACGTGTCACACAATATCATTGTAAATTGATTCTCCACACTTTGTTAATACTTCTGTCTGAATGGACAGGTTTAAATCCAGAATACCTATCTGCTAATGTATGGTTATTTCTATGTTATAAGGTTTTAAGCTTGGATTGTTATTCCAGTGAATTCTATTCGACTGTGGGTAAACATAACAAATCTGAATGTATTTTGTTAAAGTATACATGTATTAACTTATTTTGATTCCAAGGAAAAACATATATTGTTATAGGTATGCACAACCCTGACCTAAAACCGGAAGTGGATAAATGTACTTTAAGGTGTACAAGTGTATGGTTGTTATCTCTCCAACCTGGAGATGAACATTCTCGATTGCATGTCGTTTGTAATTTTTCTTTCAATGATTAGAATGAGAAAACATACGTGTTTTGTTGTTATTGTTGTTGTTGTTGTTTTGGGGTGTTTTACTAGTAAAGGTTTTTTCCTGTGCAAGCAATAGTAAGAATATACTTTTAAAATATGTCACCTTTGCAACCTCGAACATCCTAATAAAGCTCCAAAATCAAGTAGTTAAAAGAAAACAAATTGTAAAAGATTCCCATCTTTGACGTATCTTTTTTCACACCAAGACTAATGGATATACAGGGAAAGAGTACTATTGATGATACACGACAAGAAAATCTAGGTCTAATTCAGGTAATGACAGGTTTTAATAAGAGAACAGAAATAGGGACAACAAAAGCACCCTTCCTTCAATAATATACAGCAGGGGGAAAATAAAATTCACGAAATCAACATGAACGTGCATCTCCCGGGACTCTTTCTGTTTTTTCCTTCAGAATCTGATTTCCATTCATGAACTAAAAACTCTCCAGATTTAACGTTAATGTGTTTCGTTTTGTGCTTAGTCGCGTTCACTAAAACATGTTAAAGTAAGGTTCACAGCTCTATTTATAATGGTTTACTGTTCGCAATTGTATTAAAATATACTTTTCACGTGTGTGGCTTTTCTTAATCAATTGACATATATATGATAGGTAACATTGACATACCCATGATAGGTAACATTGACATATATATGATAGGTAACATTGACATATGATAGGTAACATTGACATATCTATGATAGGTAACATTTACATACCTATGATAGGTAACATTTACATACCTATGATAGGTAATATCGACATACCTATGATAGGTAACATTGACATACCTATGATAGGTAATATTGACATATCTATGATAAGTAACATTGACATATCTATGATGGGTAACATTGACATACCTATGATAGGTAATATTGACATATCTATGATAAGTAACATTGACATAACTATGATGGGTAAAATTGACATACCTATGGTAGGTAACATTGACATACCTATGAAAGGTAACATTGACATATCTATAATAGGTAACATTGACATACCTATGATAGGTAATATTGACATATCTATGATAAGTAACATTGACATATCTATGATGGGTAACATTGACATACCTATGATAGGTAATATTGACATACCTATGGTAGGTAATATTGACATACCTATGGTAGGTAACATTGACATACCTATGATGGGTAACATTGACATACCTATGATAGGTAATATTGACATACCTATGATAGGTAATATTGACATATCTATGATAGGTAACATTGACATATCTATGATAGGTAATATTGACAAACCTATGATAGCTAACATTGACATATCTATGATAGGTAACACTGACATATATATGATAGGTAACATTGACATATCTATGATAGGTAACATTTACATACCTATGATAGGTAATATTGACATATCTATGATAAGTAACATTGACATATCTATGATGGGTAGCATTGACATACCTATGATAGGTAATATTGACATACCTATGGTAGGTAACATTGACATACATATGAAAGGTAACATTGACATATCTATGATGGGTAACATTGACATACCTGTGATAGGTAATATTGACATATCTATGATAAATAACATTGACATACCTATGATGGGTAATATTGACATACCTATGGTAGGTAACATTGACATACCTATGATGGGTAACATTGACATACCTATGATAGGTAATATTGACATACCTATGATAGGTAATATTGACATATCTATGATAGGTAACATTGACATACCTATGATAGGTAACATTGACATACCTATGATAGGTAATATTGACATATCTATGATAGGTAACATTGACATACCTATGATTGGTAACATTGACATACCTATGATAGGTAACATTGACATATCTATGATAGGTAACATTGACATACCTATGATAGGTAATATTGACATACATATGATAGGTAACATTGACATATCTATGATAGGTAACATTGACATACCTATGATAGGTAACATTGACATATCTATGATAGGTTACATTGACATACCTATGATAGGTAATATTGACATACCTATGATAGGTAACATTGACATACCTATGATAGGTAACATTGACATATGATAGGTAACATTGACATATCTATGATAGGTAACATTGACATATCTATGATAGGTAACATTGACATACCTATGATAGGTAACATTGACATATATATGATAGGTAACATTGACATACTTATGATAGGTAACATTGACATATCTATGATAGGTAAAATTGACATACTTATGATAGGTAACATTGACATATCTATGATAAATAACATTGACATATATATGTTAAGTGACATTAGAATAAAAAGGTACTTATGTAAGATAGAAAATGTAATGTTGTGTAAAAGGATACCGTATGCCTCGGTTTATCTAAAAATCTGCACAGAAATAAAGGTAGTGAGATATTCAGTATCTTGTATAGTGGAGAAATTTGCACATCAATGTGTAAAGTATTTCCATTTCGGTGTTCGTCTTAATCAGTATATTCAGATTTTCTTTCAGTTGATTTTGATTCTGCCCCTACTATTACCAGGACATTACCAGATATATATCATATGCAAGTTTCATACAGTAGATTTAAAGTGGTCCGATTTTCAATAGTTATTCACTTATCTAGTCTTACAGGAGTGTGGTAAGACACTTTGCGGGGATGGTTGATTATAAGACTCTTTTCTATATGGGTATGTAGGATAGGGATATTCCACCCGAGGGGTCACAAAATGTGGTAAAACCCGAGGCTTGCCGAGTTTTTTTCTCTCATTTCTAATCTCATATTATCAAATATTTGCACTCACCTCGCGGTAGCCATCACTGGACGCCGCCATTTTTCAGATTTCTATTTTTTTCCTTGGGCCATATATATAAAAAATGCTGAAATAGATTCTCCATCCCCGAATTTTGCAAACTATGTTTGCGGTCGAAAACATAATATGGACTTTGAATGTAAACATCCAACGTCAGTGTTTAACTGTTTTTTCTTCAAGCGGGCTGGGTCAAATACCCTGTCAAATATATCACCCAGAGACATGCGTACGCGTTCAAATATAGTGCCTTAAAACACAAAATAAAACAACACTTTTCTTTTTAATATTTACTATTGCTCAATGTATAATATATCATAAACACTTTTTACATCTTTGAACATGTTGGTCAAGTTATTAATACTACTTCACTGTCAATAGTAATCTTACAAATCTTACACATTTATGAATGGAATTCTTGGTTTGCTTGTGAGATGACGTCACTTACGTCACACATTTCGCGCAAAAACCGACAAGAGGAAAGTTAGTCAATGTCACTTTCAATCACACGTGGACGACGGCGGAAAGGCTGAGTCCCAGGGTTGGTGATGTTGATATTTAAAGAACAGTTTTGTTAATACGAGCCTGCAAACCATGACTCCAATCGACTATGCGTGTTTGTGGATGAAGCGGTTGACGAGGACATAGTTGATGAGTGCGCGGGAAAAAACTATGAATTACTCCGCGCGCGAGGCTTTATTACACAGGCGCCTGTGTAATAATATAAGACTCTTTTCTATATGGGTATGTAGGATAGGGATATTCCACCCGAGGGGTCACAAAATGTGGTAAAACCCGAGGCTTGCCGAGGGTTTTTACCATATTTTGTGATCCCGAGGGTGGAATATCCCTATCCTACATACCCATATAGAAGAGTTTTTTTCTCTCATTTCTAATCTCATATTATCAAATATGTGCACTCACCTCGCGGTAGCCATCACTGGACGCCGCCATTTTTCAGATTTCTATTTTTTTCCTTGGGCCATATACATAAAAAATGCTGAAATAGATTCTCCATCCCCGAATTTTGCAAACTATGTTTGCGGTCGAAAATATAATATGGACTTTGAATGTAAACATCCAACGTCAGTGTTTAACTGTTTTTTCTTCAAGCGGGCTGGGTCAAATACCCTGTCAAATATATCACCCAGAGACATGCGTACGCGTTCAAATATAGTGCCTTAAAACACAAAATAAAACAACACTTTTCTTTTTAATATTTACTATTGCTCAATGTATAATATATCATAAACACTTTTTACATCTTTGAACATGTTGGTCAAGTTATTAATACTACTTCACTGTCAATAGTAATCTTACAAATCTTACACATTTATGAATGGAATTCTTGGTTTGCTTGTGAGATGACGTCACTTACGTCACACATTTCGCGCCACACCGACAGGAGGAAAGTTAGTCACTGTCACTTTCAATCACACGTGGACGACGGCGGAAAGGCTGAGTCCCAGGGTTGGTGATGTTGATATTTAAAGAACAGTTTTGTTAATACGAGCCTGCAAACCATGACTCCAATCGACTATGCGTGTTTGTGGATGAAGCGGTTGACGAGGACATAGTTGATGAGTGCGCGGGAAAAAACTATGAATTACTCCGCGCGCGAGGCTTTATTACACAGGCGCCTGTGTAATAATATAAGACTCTTTTCTATATGGGTATGTAGGATAGGGATATTCCACCCTCGGGATCACAAAATATGGTAAAAACCCTCGGCTTCATACCCATATAGAAGAGTTTTTTTCTCTCATTTCTAATCTCATATTATCAAATATGTGCACTCACCTCGCGGTAGCCATCACTGGACGCCGCCATTTTTCAGATTTCTATTTTTTTCCTTGGGCCATATACATAAAAAATGCTGAAATAGATTCTCCATCCCCGAATTTTGCAAACTATGTTTGCGGTCGAAAATATAATATGGACTTTGAATGTAAACATCCAACGTCAGTGTTTAACTGTTTTTTCTTCAAGCGGGCTGGGTCAAATACCCTGTCAAATATATCACCCAGAGACATGCGTACGCGTTCAAATATAGTGCCTTAAAACACAAAATAAAACAACACTTTTCTTTTTAATATTTACTATTGCTCAATGTATAATATATCATAAACACTTTTTACATCTTTGAACATGTTGGTCAAGTTATTAATACTACTTCACTGTCAATAGTAATCTTACAAATCTTACACATTTATGAATGGAATTCTTGGTTTGCTTGTGAGATGACGTCACACATTTCGCGCCACACCGACAGGAGGAAAGTTAGTCACTGTCACTTTCAATCACACGTGGACGACGGCGGAAAGGCTGAGTCCCAGGGTTGGTGATATTGATATTTATAGAACAGTTTTGTTAATACGAGTCTGCAAACAATGACTCCAATCGACTATGCGTGTTTGTGGATGAAGCGGTTGACGAGGACATAGTCGATGAGTGCGCGGGAAAAAACTATGAATTACTCCGCGCGCGAGGCTTTATTACACAGGCGCCGGTGGAAATGAGAGAAACGTCTATCATGACCATGTTTATTGCCCTGGACAGGCCTATCTGACACAGGTGGAAATGAGAGAAAATACCGTTGAGTTGTCACTTATGTGTGCGAATATGAAGGTGTAGCTGTGGTAGCTTGTGATTAATCGGTGTTAAGGATGAAGGTTATGATGTTGTCGGCGTAAAGCAGCATAACTTGTGAGTGGTCGGAGTTAAGGATGAGGTTATGATGTTGTGGACGTGAAGCAGTGTGGCTTGTGAGTGGTCGGTGTTAATTAAGGACGAAGGTTATGATGTTGTCGACGTAAAGCAGTGTGGCTCGTGAGTGGTCGGTGTTAAGGATGAAGATTTGAACGATGTCGGTGTAATAAACCAGTCGTGGGTAGCTGGTGAGTAGTCGGTGTTAAGGACGATGGTTTTAATTTTGTCGATGTAAACCAGTTGTGGGTAGCTGGTGAGTAGTCGGTGTTAAGGATGAAGGTTTTAATTTTGTCGATGTAAACCAGTTGTGGGTAGCTGGTGAGTAGTCGGTGTTAAGGATGAAGGTTTTAATTTTGTTGATGTAAACCAGTTGTGGGTAGCTGGTGAGTAGTCGGTGTTAAGGATGAAGGTTTTAATTTTGTCAATGTAAACCAGTTGTGGGTAGCTGGTGAGTAGTCGGTGTTAAGGATGAAGGTTTTAATTTTGTTGATGTAAACCAGTCGTGGGTAGCTGGTGAGTAGTCGGTGTTAAGGACGATGGTTTTAATTTTGTCGATGTAAACCAGTCGTGGGTAGCTGGTGAGTAGTCGGTGTTAAGGATGAAGGTTTTAATTTTGTCGATGTAAACCAGTCGTGGGTAGCTGGTGAGCAGTCAATTAGATAGGTTATATAGATATACACGAGGGCTGTCATCCATGAAAATTCTCATTATAGATCTCTTCGTGTATGAGTTCTATTTTACTTTGTTGATGACACTACGTGTATTTACCCGATGCTATACATACAGGGTCATGTATACGTCACGCTAATGGATTCTACATTATACCCGTTATAATCATGGCCAATAACAAAAAATTGAATGAGGTCCTTCAATTTCACTTTCAGATAACAAGATATTTATTGAACATGTCCAGTGTATATATATTCTCCAGAATTGGAAATCAAGGACACGATAAACTCTCCTACATCAGCGCTTACCATAATTTTTCCTACTACGAAACCAACATGGTGAGCTTTCCATCAAACTGCATGATAAGTGTGATTTCAATTTTTCTTTTTTTTTAATTTTCCATTTCTTGATAGTAACCATCCTACATCCCTATGATTTAAATGTCGCAGCAATTTCGATATTCTTGGGCCTGTTCCTGTTTGCAATATCAGAATTTCCGAGCCAGATGTCCTTAACAGACAAACAAACTCGCAACAGAGAGATGCATTTCGTTGTAGATTATGGGGAAATTTGTGGTTGTCTTGAGGACATCTTTGAGAAATGTTCTATTTCTCAGTCCGATATGAATCTGGACATGCTTGATGCATGATAGTTTTTTCTGTTGGTTTCGTTGGTGTACACTTTCTTCTCATGTGAGCACGTGACAATACGTATTTGGAATGAGCAAAATTTACCTGGCAGGTGTCGTCGTTGAAGTAGCAGACCTTACCCTTCGGAAACATTTAGAAGTCTCTGTGTTAATATTTCTGTTGTTCTTATTTTGCAATAGTTTGATCTAATTTGTGCTTGAATAAAGATTCGGTTCTTATATCGGTACTTTCTTTGATTTTTCTAGCTATCGATATCGGTAATTACTGAATGTATCGAGAAAGTGGGCATTGACAGAAAAAACAAGGTCCAAACATCTAACTTTAGTCTCGATGGGAGTCATCCTTAATTAAAACCAGAGACTTTTAAAATGACAACCGGAACTATTGGTTTAATCATCACTTAAATTCTGTGCTTTTTTCAATATAAATGTCAGAGAATTTGATTGTTCAACAATGGATGGCTTTTGCTGATTCTGAAGTCATGAGAGCAATGATAAAACGGTCTTCTTTCATCTCTATAAGGAAGTACAGAAGTAAACTGTGACGTTAGATATGTAAAATGTACTCTAATACAACTTGATATGTTGATCGCATAAAAAGTACAAAGAAATAGATAAATTCCAAAACATTTTATTGCGAAATTGGGTCAACAAAATTTTATGATAAAAAACAATATTATGACATAAGAATATCTCTCCGGTGGGATTTATTAATAGATAACAAGGGGTAATATCCTAAAACAGGACACACATTAAACAAACTCACAAAAGGAGAGAGATGTGACCATAAATAACATGTTCAGTGACCTCTACCAGCCTCTAGAGAGAATTAGGGACACATCACTGGAGTAAGGAATTCAACATACCTTGTAATAATCACTTATAATTAATAAATAAACATGTAAATTTTTACTTACTAAATTAAATTAAATAAGCACTGTTGTCTAACAGGTCACTGATAAGTATTCATGCATCTTTACAAATTCCTGGCCTTCTCAATTTATATTACATGTAGTATAAATACTACTGCCTACTGATTCTATTTTGATACAATATATCTATATAATTATATCTGAACACCACTTCACACTGAAACACTATTTACAATTTTAACACCTGAAGTAAAAAAATTTATCACAGATATGATGTACACAGTGGGTATATTAATGTATCTTCTATGTTACAATAACAACACAAGTCAGAAACCACTAAAGAAATCAATCTTAACTACACTCATTGGTAAGTTTGTATGAATCGTCATAAAACAGATAAAAGTATCTTAAAGCTTGGCCAACACCAGGTGAAAATGATACAGGCAAAATATAAACAGAGAGAAAGATTCAGTTAAAAATCTTTATTTTTTATTTATCTTAACAGGTTTTACGTCCACTATCAGGACCTTTCGGTCTTTCAGCGGACGACGTCAAAAATATTGTAGTTGATGTACTTTCAGCACTCGAAATTTTTAAAAAATGACATTTAGGTGAGTGTATTTAACAGGTGGTCTATTCCAAAAATAAAAGTTCTAGTGTACAGTAATCATATCACAGCAGTTAACAGCAGTGGTAGGACACCAAACGTGGTGATTATCTCTACACAGACTAACCAAAAGAATGAAATTGAATGCCCTTTAAATAGAGTTAGTTTACCATCATAGTTTTACTTATTTTTCCATTGTACAATTTAGGACTATAAACAAAAGTGGGCCTCTGAAATTTCAACAATATTAGGGGGCACGAATTGGACAGTGTTTAATACAGAGCATATCTGAATAAGTGAATAAACTGCAGTATATGTAAAAAAAAACTATTTAAAAATCAATATATATAATATTGATATATTTAGCTATTCAAACTTAAAATAAAAAAAAAGAACATGTACAAATATCAACTTTTAACCGGGATAATGGAGACACTGTTCAAGGATTTCCAAAAAACATATTGCCATCTTGAGTGTACTACATGTCAATCTGCACTAAGCATGGGTATCATGGAGACTATCATGTTTGTATATAAAAAAGTGAAATAAACACAACTATTAACTATGGCATATGGTTAATTATGTTGGGTTACAATGTCTTCTGTTAATGGACCATTATCTGTAAAAATTTGAGTACCATCTTGAATCTTGATGTTAAATGTCACCAATTCTTGATTATGACACCGATTCTAAAATAAATAATTCCCAAATTTCAAAACTACAGCAGTAGTAATATCTGGGACACCTGAAACAATCATGTCCTGAGTAAGGTGTAGCATTGTGATTGCCAGCAGACAGTTTGGGATAAAACCCAGTTCTAATGTACGGGACCCCACACAACATGATCGTACTTCTCCCGCAAAACGTTCTCAAGTTCCTTACTTTGTTCAGCATCTCTGGTCTCTACAACACATTTCACCTGCAAAATCACAAAGGAATAAATTTCTAATAAATACAATAGACTTGGACATAATTGTTATTTTTATGAAATTAGTGTTGGTGAAAATCCATAGAGGTAAGTCATGTCTCAGATTTTCATCTCTAAGGGGAGTAACTCCTACAGCAGTAAACTAACATCCAATAAAAATCCAACAAATACATTTAATAGATGTTCTTACCTGAACTGAAAAAATGTCTGACTTTATCCAAGCACGCTCATGGTACATGTCCTTCAAACTGTAAAAAAAACCCACCAAAAACAGAATATTAATTACTTAGGTGCACTGTTATAACTTTTAAGAAAAAAATTGTTCAATTTAAACTTTGATGTGCAAGAATAATAAGAATTACAGTCATGTTGTTGAAATCTCCAGGAACTAGAACAAAAATGTATAAAACAAGGATCTATAATAATAAACATTTCATATCACAGAACATAACTGTAAAAAGATATCATTTCTTACGTAGATAAATATTAATGTTGATGGAAGATATCAATAAGACAGAAGTGTGAGGACATTTAAGTAAACGTAAATGTCACAACTGACCAAAGCACTGTCTTCATTCAGATATATGTGTCCACTAAATGTCAGTAATGTACATGAATCAATTCAAATGATTATTTACTACATCATACCTGATCCCCATCTTTGAGATGGTTCTGGCTAATTCTGTGATACCACCAGGTCTGTCACTGACCGTTACCACAAATCTGACCAGTCGGCCATCAGCAGCAAGACCCCTCTCTAACACACGGCCTAGACAGGTGGTGTCAATGTTACCACCACACAGGATGACCACCACTCTGTAACAAACAGTATATACAGTACATGTCAGTGTTCCCTACACACTGGATGATCACCACCAGTAATTACACAAACTTAAAACGCCTTCCTCCAAGGATGCTTCTGACCACGTTTCAGTCTTTCATGACTAGTAGTGATTCGCAGTAAAAAGTTGACTGATGCCAGACACCAGAGAGGCGATGGATGCCATGCCATGACAAAAGCTCACCAGTCCTTCAGACCAGATGAGCTAACAAACCCTGTCAGTGTTACACCACACAGGATTATCACACAGTTACACAGCTTGTCAATATTACCCCATACAGGATCACTGCACAGTAACATACAACAAACCCTGTCAGTGTTACTGCACACAGGATCACTGCACAGTAACATACAACAAACCCTGTCAGTGTTACCCTACTCAGATGCACACAACATAATGTGTCCATGACACTCCACACTGAGTGTAACACAGTATAAATCCTGTCACTGTTACCTCTCAGAGTAACACACAATGTCAATGTATCTATCCATTGTAATAACTAACCTTTTACCTGCCAGCTCAGGTAACATGCCCTGTATAATGGCGGCCAGTCCTGTGGCCCCAGCACCCTCCACTACTGCCTTCTCCAGCTCTATCAGTCTAAGGATAGCCAGAGCAATGCTCTGCTCCTCTACAACCACCATCTTGTCTATAAGTGGTGCTGCAGTAACAAAGGCATTCACACCTACAGTAGGGACAGCCAGACCTGCAACAAAAACAATACAGATGTTTAGAAATTTTAGTAAACCATTGAAGTAAGTTGGTGGGATTTTGGCCTCAGAGTTCTAACAGTTAAAAAACTTCAAAACAGAATGTAAATCTGATCTGGCACAAATAATGCCTTCTGATATTTACAAGCTATTATAACCAGCAAAAAAATGTAGATATCAAAATTGGTGAAAAAAGTCAAGGGCATGATTTTTTAATAGCCTTATATCAGTGACAGTTATTGACTCTTGATGGTTTCTCTGTCTGCAGGCTAGATATATATTCTTCTGTAATTTCACAGTGGGAAAAAAACAGTCGAAAAGACAACAAGAGGCACATGGGCCTTAATGGTCATCTGACTATAAAGAACTATAAATGAAAGAGTAAAATAGACCTTTAATAAATTGTACAAATACTATACAGCTTACTTGAAGACATTTGTGGTTCATCAAGACATTTTCTGCAAACTTAAAATTATAGTCTTTATACATGCACTACACAATTGCCATTACTCCTGACATATTGCTTGTTGAAAAAGCAAGCTACAGGCCCAATATCAAGACCCTTGGCCTTTTGGTTATTGAGAAGAAGTTTTTTTAGTACATTTAACCACTGTGACCTGGAAAGTAGGTCTAAAACAGCATTCTGGTCTTTTTAGTTAGTGAAAAGTCATATAAACATTTTAACACATTTGATACCAGTGACCTTGAAAGTGGGTCAATGTCATTCATATAAACAAAGTTGGTGGCCCTTCATCCTAGCATGCTACAGGCCTAAAATCATCATCCTTGGCCTTTTGGTTATTGAGAAGAAGTCATTTAAAGAACATATTTAATCACTGTGACCTTTCAAGCTGAGCAAGGTCATTCCTATTACCTAGGGGTCAAATCAACTTTCTGAATTTAAGAAATGATTCCCTACTCTCCATAATCTTTTAGACTAGTTTTGGTTGAAATCCATTCAAGCATTAAGAAAGAGCAGTATTTTGAAGCAAAATCTTGTATAACTTCTGCCTCCAAATTCCTAGGTGTTGAATCAAGTTTCTGAATTTAAGAAATGATTCCCTACATTCCATGATGTTTAAAACTAAATTTGAAGCAAAATTGTCTAATTTCCCCCTTTGGGGCCCCGCCCTTCCCCAGGTCCCTAGGGGGTTGAATCAACGTTCTAAAGTTCAGAAACCATTCCCAACTATCAATAACGTTTCAGACCAAATTTGGCTGGAATCAATCCAGGTATGAAAGAGGAGTACGGTTTTCAAGAAAAAGTTTACACATGACACATTACAATGGATGAAGCACAAAGGCTTTAAGTCATCTTGACCCTTCGGATCAGATGACCTAATGAAAGATAAAAGTTAATACTGCATTTCAGTACATACTCAGCTTTTCTGATAAGAGACACACTATAAATATTCCAGTCGTCAGAATTAACTGTGATATCTACCTGATCTCTTCCAATTTTGATTTACTAAGGCTTGAATCACAGGATAGAAAGCATCTTTGTACCTTGTTCATTTGTAAAGTGCTCCCTTGAAACCTGATTTTCCACTCAAGGTGATATTACAATACACAGTTTGTATTTCAGATATCTGTGTATAATTAAAAGTTGAGTTGCCCTGGTTTCCATGATTAATACAAAGAGTTAGACAGATTTCAATGACAAAGCTTAGATTTCAAAAATTAGAGCACCAGATCCACTGATAATTCCAGGCTTAAGATTCAGCAATTAATTTGCCACTCAACAACCACACAATGTTAGATTTACTTAACAAACATGTAACTATAGGGATATGTCTTACAAGGATGTTTACTTGTAGGGAACCTAGCAATGTCTCACAAGTATGTTTACCAGTAGGGAACCTGGAACATGTCTCACAAGGATGCTTACCAGGAGGGAAACCAGGGATATGTCTCACAAGGATGTTTATTCATAGAGAACCTAGCAATGTCTCACAAGGATGTTTACCAGTAAGGAACCTGGAACATGTCTCACAAGGATGTTTATTCATAGAGAACCTAGCAATGTCTCACAAGGATGTTTACCGGGAGGGGAATCAGGGATATGTCTCACAAGGATGTTTACCAGTAGGGAACCTGGAACATGTCTCACAAGGATGTTTACCAGTAGGGAAACTAGAATAGGTCTCACAAGAATGTTTACCAGTAGGGAACCTGGAATATGTTCCAAAAGGATGTTTACCAGAAGGGAACAAGTAATATGTCTCACAAGGATCTTTTCCAATAGGAAACCAGGAACATATTTCACAAGGAGTTTTAACAGTAGAAAACCTGGTACATATTTCACAAGGAGTTTTAAAAGTAGGAAACCAGGAACATAGTTCACAAGGAGTTTTAACAATAGGGAACCAGGAACATGTCTCACAAGGAGTTTTAACAGTAGGGAACCAGGAAACATGTCTCACAAGGAGTTTTAACAATAGGGAACCAGGAAACATGTCTCACAAGGAGTTTTAACAGTAGGGAACCAGGAAACATGTCTCACAAGGAGTTTTAACAATAGGGAACCAGGAACATGTCTCACAAGGAGTTTTAACAATAGGGAACCAGGAACATGTCTCACAAGGAGTTTTAACAATAGGGAACCAGGAAACATGTCTCACAAGGATCTTTACTAACAGGAAACCAGGAATATATTTCACAAGGAGGTTTACCAGTGGGAACCAGGAATGTGCCTCACAAGGAGGTTTAACAATAGGGAACCAGGAACATGTCTCACAAGGAGGTTCACCATTGGGGAGGTAAGTAGGCCAATTCAGTCATTTCTTATGATCTGATACATAGAAATACTACTGAAACTGAAGTTAAAAACTGCCAAGTGAAAATTGAAAGCTCAATTTAATTCACATTGAATTTCATTTAAAGCAATCGATTTTTTATATCAAAATGCAGTGATCTAACTTCAGGTGGTATATCATGTAAAAAGTGTCTGGGAATATACTACAGCTGATTACTAATCCAGTACTCATTGATTCCTTGTACTATAGAAGGCCATGCTAGTTGGTGTTTTATTGGGATCAAAGTACAACTGAGCAATTCCTGTTGATTGTTCTATACCAACCAACACACTCTGATCATTCTATACCAATTTGCAATCCCCACTGAATGTTCTATACTACTCCCCATCACACTGATTATTCTATACCAATCCCCAACTAAATGTTCTATACCAATCCCTCACTGATTGTTCTGTTACTCTCACCCATTGACTGTTCTATATACCCCCATCCCCCATTGACTATTTTATACCAAACCCCCACTGACTTTTCTATATAACCCCAACTGACCACTGACTGTTCTAAATAACCCCCCTAACCCCCCATTGACTGTTCTATACCAATCCCCCACTGATTGTTCTGTACCAGGCACCCACTGAATGTTCTATACCACTCCCCATCACACTAACTGCTCTATACCACTCCCCCCTCACACTGAGTGTTCTGTACCACTCCCCCCTCACACTGAGTGTTCTGTACCACTCCCCCCTCACACTGAGTGTTCTGTACCACTCCCCTATCACACTGAGTGTTCTACACCACTCCCCTATCACACTGACTGTTCTACATACCCCTCCTCCTTCCCTTCATTGTCAATTCCCTACCAAACCCCCACTGATCGAGGCCACCTAGAAAATACATTTGTTGGAAAGACAAGTTCAGTGCTCCAAACCAAGGCATTACAAACTAATCTCTAGATCAGTTTACAGAAGATTTTTTAAAGGAATCATTTGTCATCAAGGGAACTTACAGGGAAGTATAAGTTTATATTATAAACAGACCTTACAGGGAACCAGAAATTATTTCTAGAGGACCTTACAGGGAATCACGAGTCATACATAACGGCCTAGGAACCTTTAGGAAATTACAAATTGTCTCTTAACAGTTTTACAAGGAATTACAAACTGTCAGTCAAAAACCTCACAGGGAATCATATCTTGTCTGCAGAGGACCATTCAGGGAAATAAAAATTGCCTCTAGTGAACCCACTGTGAATTACATATTGTCTCTAGAGTACCCTACAGAGAAGTACAAATTGTGTCTTGAGTACCCCACAGAGAATTACAAATTGTCTCAAGAGGACTTAACTGGGAATTACAAATATTCTGTAGATTACCTTACATGGAATTACAAACAGTCTGTAGACAACTTTTTAGGGATTTACAAACAGTGGGAAGTAGTGCAAATAACCTTACAGAGAATTAAAGACTGTCTGTAGAGGAACCTTACAGAGAATCATAATTGTTTTTAGAATAATGACATGTTTCGCTTATAAAATTTACAGAGATTTACAAATTTACTTAAATATAACAGAATACACATGAATATTTAAGAGTGTTAATATACAAGTCACCACTCAATGAATATCAACACTGGGTCTGAGTGTACACAATGTAAGTCAGGGTCCCTAGACAGGGGTCAAGCTGAAGCTTACCATCGGCCACCGTTGATATAGTTTTGTCAGCTCTTGAACGACCTGTTCAGTTAGAACCATGTTATGGTGTTATGCTCCTTCTGTTACACACATCATTGTATCATGTTTTACAGTAAGGTTTTCATGAACCAGTTGCTAATTCAGAAATTTTTTTGTGATACGAAGTCATTTCAATGTTAATCAAGAGGGCTATAAATTAGCTGCCTGTTTTGTAATGGTCTAAATAAACAAGTGATGAAATGATGTTAATACCATATCAAAATATAACCAGTCACTATTTCCCTGTTGTTTGTGCCCAAAACCTCTGTTCCAAAAAGGCCAGCTACTGTGTAAGCCCCAACCATCTTCCTTAGTGTGGCAACAACATCCCTAATGAGTAAGCCCCAACCGTCTTCCTTAGTGTGGCAACAACATCCCTACTGTGTAAGCCCCAATCGTCTTCCTTAGTGTGGCAACAACATCCCTACTGTGTAAGCCCCAACCGTCTTCCTTAGTGTGGCAACAATATCCCTACTGTGTAAGCCCCAATCGTCTTCCTTAGTGTGGCAACAACATCCCTACTGTGTAAGCCCCAACCGTCTTCCTTAGTGTGGCAACTACATCCCTACTGCTTTCAGCCCCAACTGTCTTCCTTAGTGTGGCAACTATATCCCTACTGTGTAAGCCCCAACCGTCTTCCTAAGTGTGGCAACAACATCCCTACTGAGTAAGCCCCAACCGTCTTCCTTAGTGTGGCAACAACATCCCTACTGTGTAAGCCCCAATCGTCTTACTTAGTGTGGCAACTACATCCCTACTGTGTAAGCCCCAACTGTCTTCCTTAGTATGGCAACAACATCCCTACTGTGTAAGCCCCAACCCTCTGCCTCAGAGTGACAACTACATCCCTAAAGTATAAGCCCAAACCCTCTGCCTCAGAGTGGCAACTACATCCCTGCAATGTAAGCCCCAACCCTCTGCCTCAGTGTGGCAACTACATCCCTACTGTGTAAGCCCCAACCCTCTTCCTTAGTGTGAAAACTACATCCCTACAATGTAATCCCCAACCCTCTTCCTTAAGTGTGGCAACTACATCCTTGAAGTTGCACCCCAGCTCCCCACAGCATGTGCCTCAACCCTCTACCTACCACTCCACACCAGAGTGCTCACACTATTTCCTTGTTTTCTTAAGATAGGAGTAAATGATGGCCGCTAGGCCATGAACTAATTAGCTACATGTGACTTAAAAACAATAATCCTGTTAACAAAAATATGGTTTCCTTGTAGCATTTCAAATTCAGCGATTTTGTAGATCGTGAAATGTAACACATCTGGAAAAGTAGTCGTCATTCTAAGTAAATATCACACCATCCCAGTACGGTCTCAAGACCACAGAATAACTAATCCGCAGAAGTGTGAAATGAGAGATGCAATAACATGCTATGCCATTTTGACAAAACCTCAGTAACATAACAAAACAAGTCAGATGATAGTTATACTACAGTCATGCTTCACTACATTGTCCACAAAAAGCTGAACTATCATAATGGCAGTATCAGGGAAAAATAATACAAAACAATGGCCACCAGACTGAAGTGAAAGAAATCTGACTCTTTTAAGTGTTTGTCTGAGGTATATTAATCTTACCATCAGCCAGTGTTGATGTTGTGTTGGTGTACACTGGCTTTCCTGCCTTCAAAGCTTCAGTGAAACTAGGACAAGTCTCTGACTCCACTCCCTGTTTAGGTGACACCATAGTAAGGAATATTCATTAGGGTGGGTCCAGGACAAACACACAATTCCATTTGGAACTACACAGATTAAAATGATATGAATATTTACCATACTTAAACATAATTCTTGAAATTCTTACTAATTACATGAAATTCTTACTAATTACATAATTACAATACATATTTCTTACTAATTTCATTAATTACATTAAACCATCTTGATTTGTTATCTAGTCAATAGCAACCACACAACATTGTGTTTTTAGCACTTTTTGCTGGAATTATTCATTGCTGAAAGTGTGATTTACGACTGATATACAATACAATTATTAAATGTGATTTGTCAGATACTATAATCCAGACCATTCATTTAAAATACTTCATTGATAATCTGTGGACCAACCGTTCAAGTCACATGATATTCTAGGCAAATGGTTGCTGTGACACTCACAATAATCTGGACAGATGGCTTGAGACTTTTGATGGCCAGTGCAGCACCAGCGATGAGCCCAGCACCACCAACGGGGATGATACAGGCATCAAGGTCAGGCACTTGCTCTAGAATTTCCAGTCCTACTGTCCCCTGACCTGCCAGGATGTTCGGGTGGTCATACCTGACAAACAAGTCATAAGAATTCATACAACACATCTCATCAAAACTCACTTCATCAATGTAAACACAGGATGTATTTTTCAGACGAGAGGAACTATCAGGTCATTTATCAAATTCAATTTCAGTCACATTTAAAGGAGATTTCTTTAGAAAGAGAATGCAAGGACTGTAACAACAATAACAATAATTACTGTCTTTGTCAAGGAGCTCAGTCAAAAAAGAACTGTGATAGTACATACCCATTGATGTATATGAGACCCTCCTGCTTTCCGAGCTTCATAGCATGTTCTCTCGACTAAAAGTGCAAAACACAATTAAGACCACAGTCACAAAATCTATATATAACTAGTTGTGATTAATGTTGGTAGCCACTTTCCCAGATCATGATGTTTGGAAATTAGGATGAAACGATTTACAAGGGGAGAAAATGGACAGCTCTAATAATTACATGACACAGGGATGTGATAAATTGTTAAAGAACTAACTCACATTCTTCCAGGCAGTGGTAACATTGAAATCTGAAGCTAGGTGTTAGATATCTGGAACAAGGCTTAAGATGCAGGATTTGTCACATTCAAAAATATTAATATAAGCATTATATCACACCTGATTCAGTAGATTCTCTGCGATTTCAACCATAGAAACCTAATCAACACTTTCTTATTTTTTATTTCTAATACAAAATGGATCCTAGTCATCTTTAACAAGCAGTACTTATATTTAGTGATAGTGACATCATGAATTAACATCAGTAACACTGAACAAGAGCTGTCTCTTTATACCTAAAAAGAAAATTTAAAGTCTAAATCATGTTTAATATTCCTCAACCTGTGTATTGTGCAAGAAAACACATCACAAATCGGAACATGGGGGAACTTTACCTCTGATATATCCTTTCCAGTAACAATGACGTTAGCTCCATATGAACGACAAGCCTGCACCTTCATCAACGGTGCTATTTTAGGCATCACCACAGTAATAGGGATGTTGAGTTCCTTGCCATGGTAACTGAGGGCGAGGGCATGGTTGCCTGCACTAGCTGCCACAACTCCATTTGCTTTTTGCTCCTTTGTGAATCAGGAATATTAAGAATTGATACATTATCACATCAAATACTGACTAGTTCTCCAGTAAATTTGAAGACATTTTCTTTGTTTTATGATGGCTATCTGGCTTGACCACAGCTCTTAAAAACTATTTCTGAATACAAATGTGAGCGACTGGAATCATTGTGATGCTAAATAGAGAATATATACTTTAGTAAAAACTTACAAAGTACTAGATTAGGTAATGATGAATACATTCCAACATCTACTCTCACCAGTTTTCAATGAGTAAGGGATTCTTACCTTAGACAACATCATAAGGGTATATCTGGCTCCTCTTTCCTTGAAACTGTCAAGACATGAAATTGTACATATCACACACTCTTGGAGAAATAGCATCTATTTTTGTTTCCATGAAGGACACATCACTACTTTTAACTACCGCTAAAGAAAGACAGAATTATCACTACTTTTAACTTTCACTAGATAAAGCAGGAATTATCACTACTTTTAACTTTCACTAGAGAAAGAGGGAATTATATGCAAGGGTGACATTTTATTTTTTCTACTGATTAACAATGACCATCTCAAGTCAAAATTACCTCTTAAATAAGCATACAGTTAATTGGGACTTGTTAAAAATAATGTTCATTTCAGATTATCATAACTACCTTCCAGTAAACTGCAGAAACTCCTTCTTAAAGAAAAGATTCACACCCAAAAGTCCAGATAACCGAGATCGCTGAAAAAGACAATTGCATCTTTTGTATATGTGTACATGTCATCTATCAAATTGGACAATTCATAACTACTTCAAAATGTATACAATTTGTGCTAAATCTATCTTTATCTTATCTCAATCTCTTTCAAGGAAACATGACCAAATTTGTTATACTGCTGTCCCAGGGCAACATGATTACTCAAAAAAATAGGGTTAGGCATTTGAGAAATCTTTTTACTCTTCAAACAGGTATGTTGAGACTTAAATAGTCCTTCCTTGACTTTGTCTGGAAATAAAATATGAGATATTTAGAATTAAATTTTTAAAATATATTTTCCTTAATCAGAATCTGAAACTGTAGTTATTCAGATTTTTCCCCCTTTGATTGGCTTGTTTATGAAATGGGAAATAATTACATCAGATATCCAATTTAGAACCAACTTCATCATTTTCATTTGTTAGGAATACCTACCGTACAAGGTGTCTTCATAATGCCATCCCTGATTTTGTAGGCGGCTGCACTGATGTCCTCAAACTGTATTGCTTTAGGGTTATCTGGGTCACAGAATTCATCCTTCAGGTTTGACATGCTTATCTGCCTTAAGAACTTGGGTTCTTCTTTATCATCTGGAGTTCTCGGTTCCTCATCCAATGATGCTGATGCCTGCTATTGAGTACATTAAAAGTGCTGTGTTAGATCATCATTTTAAGCATATGTACAAGATGACATTTGAATTCTGAAATTTATGTTATTGTCAGCAGTGTTTAATGCGATACTTTAGAGTACACCACAATTCTTCAACCCAGTCTTGCTTGTCAGTTCATTCCTTGCTGGGATTATTATAAAGGAAAAGCTTTCATAGGGATTGACTCTATAACCTTTGTGATAACAATTATGCTTGGATAATAACACAGGTAAAGCTTGAAATAATCAGCAATTCAATTAAGGTAGATTTTAGGCCAGAAAAACTAAAAGTTTTCATTATATTTAAGTCTGTAAATTTTGAAATAGCTAAAAAATACTGTCTTTTAAACTAAAGTTCAACTATTTTGTACAGGTTATCAAAGTGCTACTACTATTGAACTTAAATTTTACATAACTGATTTTAATTGTTATTCAATTTACTCAAGTTCAATATAGTCATCCCCAAAAAACCTAAAAAAAAAAAATGGAAAAGTTTATCCTCAAATATTTGCAACACAAACTCTTATAACAAAATATATTATAATCCTATGATTCATTTGATTTATCAAGTGAAGTTATGGATGAATATTTGGATATGTAATCAAGGTGGGATTTTTTGCCAAAATTTTGGTTTTTGTTAAATTCTGTTATATCATAATCCATTACTACTGATATGGTACCACTCAACTATGCCCCAATACCTATATTGCACAGTCCAAAGTACTCATTACACATGAGTGCGAAATTCAATATGGTGACTGGTCATGTGGTGCCTACGACATCAAAGTTTTACTTCAACAGACCATGTCTGATATATGCAAACAGTAGTACAGAAAGCAGATAATTTTCATATGACCCTGTTTTCTTTGCAATGTCCTTGAGTGACAGTGAAATATTCTACTTTAGATAATATATCATTCTATACAAATTTAAACAAATAAAACTGGAGGGATGACAACAAAATAAGTGGACAATCAACATCAAAGAATTGTAAGTTGGCAAATGTGTCTGTGGTAAAAACAACTGTTACTGCACAGACTTTAAAATCTTTGGTGATTTTTAATGAAATAGTGATTTTTTTTATATTACATGAAATATGATTATGCAAGCAGGTATCATTTATAGACACTTAATGATGTCTGTCTGTCAGCTTTGGATGAGTAAATTATTTTGTAAACAAAGGTATTTACACACCATGTGTACTGTATGCGTGTCAGCATTCGTAATATAAACAAGATAATTATGCTGACATCCACGACTTATTGAAACAAAACATTAACCCCAATTCCGCTGTAACAGCATATAACTAAATGACTTGAATGATTCTGACAGCTGACTTTTCTGTACTTTTAAAAAACATTAACGCCTATCACATGCATATGTTTTGACGTGCGATATGAAAATGTCATGATGGTATTTGTATACACAAGTCCAGATTTTCATATTTATGTGTTCATAAATACACATTGCATTGTGGTAAATGCAGGTAGTGTTAGTGTACACAGTGGACCTCTAACATATTCCATATTGTTTATTTTGTGATTTTGTGCTTCAACAGGTTAACAAGAGATACAAGTAACTTCACACACATGTAGTTAACTATATATTACATTCATAAAAACTAGACACTAAGCCTACTGCAAATTATAATATCAGTCTCACTTTCATCTGTTTAAGGGGTTCATTTGAGACAAAACACTTTTGTGAAAATCGTCCTTTTTCCACCACTCCAGTAACCTGGTATTATGATGACATTTCGGTTCGGTTAACTCTTTAATAGTTACTTGAAATACAACAAAAGGTTAACGAATGACGTATGTTACACAGCCTTTAAATTCTGAGAAATGCTTGAACTTGGAGGCGCGCCATCATTCACCTTCAGCTCACCTTGAACAATGTATATATTACCTAATTTACCCTCTCTTTTCTGAATAAACAAACTAAAAAATCTGTATTTTATCTTAATATTAAAATCGAAGCTAGCATTGTGACAAATAAACAGATCATAGCTGAAACATCGGGGTAGGCTTTATGCATAAGTCATTCATGGCGATCATCAAAACACGGAACTTGATAAACATAATATTACTTTGAAGGGCTTTCCTCCGACCTTGTATTAAATTCCATGTCTATATTCTAATGATATACATGAACAGAAAGTATCGTGGCATGCACACTTACCATCATTACTCTAAACTCTTGTTTAAATGATCCTGACACAAATGTAAACAACTCCACGTTCTTTGTGATCGAACTTCAGTTTTGCCGTTAGCCAATCATATTTGCGAAAAGTGCACACACCTCTTAATTTTCGACCAATCATAGCAGAGCTTTCATAGAAGTGCTGACTGTATACAGAGACTTCCCAGGTTAGGGGAAGGCAAGGGGCGAAGTAGCTGTAATGCATGCTTTCAACATTTTTAGTTATGATATCAAAATTAAAAGGTGTTTTCTCAACTGTTCGAGTTATTCTTCCGTAATTTCGCTAATACTTGAGGATATCACTTTGTATTTGCACTGTATTGTACAAATATATCTACATTCTGTATGTTATCTGTTTTAGCGGACATCAGAGTAACTAACTGAGCAAATTTTCAATAAGTAGTAAAGAGAAATAAAATTTCAGTGAATTATCGTTACGTCATGAAAAGCATCACTTAGCATGAACTATTTCGCTAAACTGGATACAGCAGAGCTAGTCAGTTTCAGAATGCTAGTTTTTTTTCTATCCAATTTAAACACTTCAATAAAAAATAATTCCTTTGTCATTCACACTTGTGCAAAGAAAACTTATGTCGTCAAAAGGATATTAAATATTTTATTTCTTATACAGCTTTAGTTCAAAAATAGGTTGCCATTTTTGTCAGCAGAATTTTTCCAGGGTGTATTTTCAGTGATATATAGTGTTACTACCGATGATGGGAAGGTGTGAACGTTTGAAGTACTGTAGTACTGAACAAAGTATTGATAGTATTGTACTGAAGTACTTCACCAATCGAATTCCTTAAATTTATGCAACAAGCTCTCTGATTGGCAGAGCCAAGTCTAGATCGATTGTGGGTGGAGCCAGGTGAAAAAATACTGTGCAGACATCGGCATTTTACAAACACTCGACTGTCGCGAGAGGTTAATTGGAAGAGTCCAAGTCACAGGTGGCTTCAGATCAGACCTAATTGGGTTGTCCCATTTGTTTCGTTCTACACCCAATGATCCCTTGCTTTTCCATCGATGGTACAACGAGAAAACGAAAGTTACTCAGTACTAAACTAATTTACGTACAAAATATATATCAACAGGTTAGATCACTGGGACCGGAGAATTCATAACATCTTAACAGTGAATATAGTCATATAGTCATTCTGTACTAGTTTTATTTATTTTTTTATTTGAAAGGGAGGGGGGGGAGGGTTGGCTCAAAATATTTCGGTTTAAGCCCAAGCTCTACTATATCACGGACTTATATACACAGGGATAGGCAACTTGCCTTCAGCTCCGCATGTGTATTGTCCACCTTTTATATTTGCGCAGCGGAGCGTAACGACTGTCTGCCTCTCAATTTACCTTTAATCCTTCCTATCGCGCCTGCGCGGACCGCTTCTTTCGATTTCCGGCATTTTGTTTACATCAGCGACCGATGATGTGACATTGATTTGACAGCTCGATACACAGCCCAAATAATGCGTTAAATGAAACCATAATGTGTGCTGATGGCGCCAGCCCGACGCAATCGTAAGGGAAGAGTGAGGTAAGTCTAAAACACAGTCATTTCGTTATAATCGAAGGAAGACTACAGTTATCGGAGCTTCAAAAAAAAAAAAAAGTTATCGGAGCTTCAAGAGTTAATGTCAAAAGAGTCTGATTTTCTTTCCTGGGATAGCGATATAGACTTAGATTTCTTACTGGAAGAATATACCGACTATGACAATGTAGAGAACGATTTGGAAAATGATGTTGAGGAGTGTGTTGTGGTGAAAAAACGAAAATTAGATCAAGAAAACCTACCACCAACTACAAGAACTATTTATACTTGCCCTGTATGTAGTAAACAGCTAAAGACTATAGCTGGATTTCGTGGTCACACCTCTAGAAAACACGGGAGAAACGATTTAAAAGGTAGGCCTACATACATTAGTAGTATTTTCTGTTTCAGAAGATGCAAACTTCTTTTTATTTTTCTTTGATTCAGGTCAAATATTTGATAAGTATATATTTACTTAAACTCTCCTGCAGCACTTTAAATTTAATAATCACTATTGAGTGAAGAAAATAAATAATTTTATTATAATACATTAAATTAACATTAGACTTGGTATTATTTTCCTGACCTCATCTCAGCAAAGAAAAAAAAGAAGAAAAGAAACGCACAGTTATATTGAGTGGAACTTTACCTTTTAAGTGTAGATAAAAATGTAATTATAAATCTTCAGGAAGTAATAACCATATTCCGTTGTCATTTAGTTTGATGATAAATGTCAGATTCTTCGTCAAAGAGAAAACATTTTTGAGATGTGGTAATCATCTAACAAAAGGGAAAAGTGCATGATTTCTTAAATTATCACCTGCAGCTATAGTATATGATACATTAATGTTATATTAATGAATTATTCTAAAATATGAAAGGATATCTATCAAATGCTATTCCAGGTAATGATAAATATGAAACTTCCTTGGTTCCAGAAAGTACCCATACAAGAGCTGCTTACTGGTGCATTGTTTATATCATCATCTTTCAACAGAAAATGTTTTCTATTTGTAATTGAAAGTTACAAATAGCTCTAGTTTATGAGATGACAATGACATAATTTCAATGATCAAAAACTGCATTATAAAGACAAGATGTCTGCATACCTGTAGTTCTTTAATTATCAATGCCCTTGCACAAAGTCTTTTCTGTTCAATTAGATGTCTCAAACAGCTGAAATGACACCTTTAAATTAAATGGAAAAATGGGAAAACCTTGTCAAACTTGATTTTTTGTGTCGACTGATGATTTTTTTTTTTTTTATCAATTTATTATCTGATGGCCTCTTTCTCCATCTCGCTCTCTCTATTTATTATCTGATGGCCTCTTTCTCCATCTTGCTCTCTCTATTTATTATCTGATGGCCTCTTTCTCCATCTCGCTCTCTCTATTTATTATCTGATGGCCTCTTTCTCCATCTTGCTCTCTCTATTTATTATCTGATGGCCTCTTTCTCCATCTTGCTCTCTCTATTTATTATCTGATGGCCTCTTTCTCCATCTTGCTCTCTCTATTTATTATCTGATGGCCTCTTTCTCCATCTTGCTCTCTCTATTTATTATCTGATGGCCTCTTTCTCCATCTTGCTCTCTCTATTTATTATCTGATGGCCTCTTTCTCCATCTTGCTCTCTCTATTTATTATCTGATGGCCTCTTTCTCCATCTTGCTCTCTCTATTTATTATCTGATGGCCTCTTTCTCCATCTCACACTCTCTATTCATCAATACATTTTCTTTCTTCATTCTATGAAAAATGTGTGAGTGTTGTCTGCGTGTGAAAATGTGCATGAGGAAAATGACAAATTCTTCTCTGCTGTCTGGATATTGTCTTTTGCTGATTTTGATTGACTATCAAGATTATAACAAGGTAGATGATTTTTATGATGATGGTTAAGATGATGATTAATAGCATGATGATGATGATAATGGTGTTATCATGAGAATGATAATATAATCAAAGGGAGGATGATGAATTTGTTTATAATAATGATGATGATTGATTAAAGCTGTATTCATAATTCAACAGTAAGACTGGATTTCAACTGTAACAAGTTAACTGTAAGACAGTAAATATTTTGTGACTTAATTCAAAACAAATACTTCAATGACATTATGGACAATCACAGAATCTTATTTACTTTTGTTTGGCTTGCTATGAATGACTAATTATGCACATTCTTTTACAAAGTTCTGTTTTAACTGTAATATCCCAAACCATTTTATTTTGTAGTGAATTACAAATTAACTCGAGTTTAATTCAACATTTACTTGCACTCTAATGGTTTAAAGCAGATTAATCATATATTCTGTTGGTATGGGTACTTACACCACAAAATGTATATTTGTATTTTGAACTCTCAGTTCTTGTTTTGTCACAAAGATAGTTTAATGTAAAATCATTTAGTATGGTTACTGTATAATCATCCATATTTGTGGGGGTTCAATTTTAATGAATTTGAGTTACTATTGATTTACAAATTAACGAGCAAATTCGTGGAATTCATTTCACCTACATTCCCGGCATATTGGTGGTAAACAACTATGAAAAAAGTGGCAATCAAATTCAGTCAAGCACTTTATTCCTTAAACCTTTTTATCAAATATGAAGAAAATCTGTCAACATTTGTTAAAGTTATTGCATGGAAACAAAGTGTGATGTTTTGTTAACAATGGGGCAATAACTCTGTCAAATAAACACTGACAAAAGTGACAATTGAACATTATTTAAAATCATTTAAAAAATTTAAAAATGAAACTATTCTGTGATTTTGCAAAAATTCAATGTTTACACTAAGATCACCCCCTGATGTTCTCATATATTTTTCAGCTAATGACAATAAAAGCCAGAGTGCCAGAGCCAGTAAAATCCCCAGTGACACTACCGGCAACTATCCAGTAGTGCAGGTTCCAGTCAAACAGGATACATGTGAGTTGTCACCAGACAGTTTCAAGGAGAGTTTCCGGGTAGCAGTACATTCACTGAAGGCTGACGAGCTGCAACAACTTCTTGGGGGTCCTAATTTTTCAGTGTTATGTGATTTCACTCTAGGGAACTGTTGTTTAGAAGATTTTTACTTCAGTTTATTCACAGACTTATTTTCATCAGGTATTGAAATTTCCTCAGCTCTGCAAAGGGAGTCTTTGTTAAGAAAATTACACACTGCTCGCATTAACAAGGATCTCAGGACAAAATACATCAATCTATACACCAGTTTAGGTTTTGAAATATCATCAGTTCATAACTTTGTACAAATACTTCTACTGACATTATTAGAGAAAATTTTGTTCACCCAAATATCAGTCAAGACTGCCATTTCTAAAGAGCGCCAACTGCAAATTTCTGATGGAGACCAGCAGATTCTGTTTTACATTTCTGGTTATATTTTGAAATCATTGAATCAAAAGTATTCCAAGTATGAAAGTTTCAAAGACAGGTTAACTGTAGTGAATTCATTGCAAGTAGACTGTGTTCATCAGCCAACAACTTTCGTTACAAAATTTCAAA